CTGCCTCAGCCTCCCAAGTAGCTGGGATTACAGGCACCCGCCACCATACCCAGCCAATTTTTGTATTCTTTTAGTAGAAACAGGGTTTCACCACTTTGGCCATGTTGGTCTCAAACTCCTTATCTCAGGTGATCCACCCACCTTGGCCTCCCAAAGTGCAGGGATTACAGGCATGAGCCACTGCGCCTGGCCATAAAAAGTAATTTTTATGAAAAGTATTAATAGGCCCTCAATTACTGTTGCCACATGCTTGAATGAATCTATATCTTGCGTGCTAAGAACCTAGAAGTGAATTAGATTCAGTTCTGGACCTTCATTTAAGAACCAGTGTCTTCATCTGTTTTTGTTTTTTCTTTTTTTCCATGAGATGGGGTCTCACTGTGTCGCCCAGGCTGGTCTGAAACTCCTGAGCTCAAGTGATCCTCCCACCTCAACCTTCCAAAGTCCTAGGATTACAGGTGTGAGCCACCATGCCCGCCCAGGAACCAGTGTCTGTTGAACACCCACCATAGACTTGTCCCTTTGCTGAGGATTCAGTGACAAGCAAGGTCCTGTCCCTGCCCATGTCGAATTCACTGCTGGGTGAGGCAGGTGTGGTCAGAGGACAGAACAGCTGGCCAGAAACCAGGAGGCTTTTGGAATAATCCACTTAGCAAGTACAGACATGGGTTGCTTAATGAAGGGGATACATTCTGAGAAATGCATTGTTAGGCGATTTTGTTGTGCAAACATTCTAGAGTGCATTTACACAAACCAGGATGGTACAGCCTACTACAAACCTGGGCGATACTGCATACCCTGTTGCTCCTGGGCTACACCCCATTACAGCATGTTACTATACTGAATACTGTAGGCGACTGTAATACAATGGTAAATCTTTGTGTATCTAAACATGTCTAAACATAGAAAAGGTACGGTAAAGAATGTTATATAGGCTGGGTGCAGTGGCTCATGCCTGTAATCTCAGCACTTTGGGAGGCCGAAGTGGATGGATCACCCGAGGTCAAGGATTCAAGACCAGCCTGGCCAACATGATGAAACCCCATCTCTACTAAAAATACAAAAATTAGCTGGGTGTGGTGGCAGGTGCCTGCAACCCCAGCTACTCGGGAGGCTGACGCAGGAGAATCACTTGAGCCTGGGAAGCAAAGGTTGCAGTGAGTAAAGATCATGCTGCCGACAATAGTGAGACTTTGTCTATTAAAAAAAAGTTATATAAAAGATTAAAAATGGTACACTTATATAAGACACTTACCATGAATGTCAGCTTACAGGATTGGGAGTTGCTCTGGGTGAGTCAGTGAGTGAATGGTGAGTGAATGTGAAGGCCTAGGAGGTTATATTATTACAGACTTTATAAACATCGTACACTGCCGGGCGCGGTGGCTCACGCCTGTGATCCCAGCACTTTGGGAGGCCAAGGCGGGTGGATCACGAGGTCAAGAGATCGAGACCATCCTGGTCAACATGGTGAAACCCCGTCTCTACTAAAAATACAAAAAATCAGCTGGGCATGGTGGCGCGTGCCTGTAATCCCAGCTACTCAGGAGGCTGAGGCAGGAGAATTGCCTGAACCCAGGAGGCGGAGGTTGCGGTGAGCCGAGATCGCGCCATTGCACTCCAGCCTGGGCAACGAGAGCGAAACTCCGTCTCAAAACAAAAACAAAAACAAAAACAAAAACAAAAAAACATCGTACACTTTGGCTACAGTAATTTTTAAATTTTTTTCTTTCTTTAATAAACCTTAGTTAACTGTAGCTTTTTTACTTTATAAACTTTTTAATTTTTTTAGCTTTTTAGTAATAACAGCTTAAAACACAGACATTGTACAGCTATACAAAAATATTTTTTCTTAATATCCTTATTCTATAGTTTTTTTCTATTTTTTAAAATTTTATTTTTCTTTACTCTTTTTTTTTCTTTTTTTTTGAGATGGAGTCTTGCTCTTGTTACCCAGGCTGGAGTACAATGGCTCGATCTTGGCTCACCACAATCTCTGCCTCCTAGGTTCAAGCAATTCTCCTGTCTCAGCCTGCCAAGTAGCTAGGATTACAGGCATGTACCACCTCACCCAGCTAATTTTGTATTTTTAGTAGAGACAGGGTTTCTCCATGTTGGTCACGCTGGTCTCAAACTCCTGACCTCAGGTGATCCACCCGCCTTGGCTTCCCAAAGTGCTGGGATTACAGGCATGAGCCACCACACCCAGCCTTATTTTTACTTTTTAAACTTTTGGATAAAAATCAAGATGCAAACACACACATTAGCCTAGGCCTACACAATACGACAGTGCTAAACTGGGGTATAAATCTCTGGTGACTGCTGGGCATGGCAGCTCATGCCTGTAAGCCCTGCACTTTGGGAGGCAGAAGGATTGCCTGGGCCAGACCAGCCTGGGTAGCATAGTGAGACCCCATCTCTACAAAAAAATGTTTTAAAAATGTGCCAGGTGTGGTGGCATTTGCCTGTGGTCCCAGCTACTCAGGAGACTGAGGTGGGAGGATTACTAGCGCCTGAGAGATAGAGGCTGCAGTGAGCCATGACTGACCCATTGCATTCCAGCCTAGGTGACAGAGTGACATACTGTCTCAAAAAATAAAATCTCTGGTGACGACCCCCCAAACCCCAGTTAGTTCCCCTGTGTCCCATAGGTCTGCATTAATAAAGGCTAGCCGCCATACGTATACCCTAAAACCTCATGGCTCAACCCAATAGAAGTTGGACTGTAGAGGTCAAATATAATACAGTTGGCTGAGATGAGGGCTCTGCTCCATACTGTTATTCAAGGATCTACGGTGACAGAGGCCCTGACTTCAACAGGTAGTTCTCAGGCTGCCTTGGGCTTCAACATCGTAAGTACATGGCAGGGGGGGCCGGGGGGGCACTTGTGGGAGGCTTTGATGGCCTCAACCTCAAAGTGATACACAGCATTTCTCTCCACGCCCTCTGGCCAAGACTTGTATTTCAAGAGAACTGGAGAAGTAGAGTCTAGCTGTGTATCCAGGGTGTAAAGGAAACATTTAGTGATAGTTAGTTGGTCTCACATACACAAAGGCATGGAAAGACCAGCCTGACATCTGGGGCTTCCCAAGAGCCGATGCCTTCACGGACTGGAGTTTGCAGGGTGTTTCAGGTAGCCCACCTCCAGCTCCTGAGCAGGATACTCAAGAGCCCACGCATTCCAGCTCAACTGACACTTTCCTGAGTCTTCTCTGTCCCTTACCAAGAACCTGAGCCTGGAACACATTTACCGTTCCCCAAAGGGGGCAGGCTGAGCCACACCCTTGCCTTTGCCCTAGATGGACCTTCTGCTTGGAATCCTGTGCTGTTTCTCCTATTCTTCCTGGAAGCTGTCTTCATTAGCCATAGGAATTATTCCTGATTTGGGCCGGGCACAGTGGCTCGTGCTTGTGATCCCAGCACTTTGGGAGGCCAAGGTAGATGGATCGCCTGAGGTCAGGAGTTTGAGACCAGCCTGGCCAAAATGGCCAAACTCTGTTTCTACTAAAAATACAAAAATTAGCCAGGTGTGGTGGTGGGCACTTGCAATCCCAGCTACTGGGGAGGCTGAGGCAGGAGAATCTCTTGAACCCGGGAGGCAGAAGTTGCAGTACGTGGAGATCATGCCACTGCACTCCCTCCTGGACAACAGAGCAAGACTCAGTCTCAAAAAAGCTATATAAAAAAAATTATATACATATATATATATTCCCGATTCATGTTTCTCTGGGGTGCAGTAACAGAAATTGGCTCTGAGCTGTATAAGCAAACAGAACTATGAAGAGCAGCTCACAGGTGGAAAGGGATGGCCAGAAAACCGGGTTTGACAGGGGCAGGAAGCTGGCAGCTGGGGCAGCAACCTCCTCCTCAATAAACAGGCGAATGCTCACTCCTTGCCCAGAACTGTCTGGCTCAACTCCAGCCATTTTTCCTTCTCTGGAATCAGGCTGCTAAGAATCAGAATCCCTGAGAGAAAATTCAGGAGGTCTCAGGTTTGTCAGGATTCTCAAACACACAGGTGTTCAAAACCAAAGTTAACCTCCCAAGCTGGCTTCTCTCCCACTCTTCCACGTCTCTGCCGGTGGATTCACCCCGGCAAGAACAGAAGCCCGTTCCTTCTTCCTCCCTCCCTCCCCCATTACCAAGCCCTGTCAAGTCGACCTCGGAATGGCTTTGACCAACCTCCTCTGACCACCACTCAGCCAAACAGCAGCAGCGGCCGGCTCCGTCACCACCCGCCTCGGCAGCCGGACACCTCTTAACTCTGCCACTCGCCTGCTTACCACCCTTCCAGGGTGCCCGTGGCCCTCTGAAAAAAAGGCTGAGCTCAGACCGGCCTCTAGGCAGCCTCCGCCCAGCCAGGGCTGTCACTGGCCCTCTAGGTGCTGAGTGGTTCTGCCTCCAGTTCTTGCCTGGAGACGAGGAGCACCCCGGACACCCCAGCCCTTTCCAGGCCGCGGAGACCTGCGTGCGCCTCGGCCTTGCCTCCCTGAGTCAGGGCTGTCTCCTCTGTAAGACACATGCCACGCAGTGCCGGCCACGCAGTGCCGGCCACGCAATACCGGCCACGCAATGCCGGCCACGCAGTGCCGGCCACGCAGTGCCGGCCACGCAATGCCGGCCACGCAGTGCCGGCCACGCAGTGCCGGCCACGCAGTGCCGGCCACGCGGTGCCGGCCACGCGGTACCGGCCACGCGGTGCCGGCCACGCATGGTCGCTGTGACCGTGGAAATAGCTGGGCGTTCAGCTACTCATTCCACACACTTTTACCAGCACCTTCGGTACCAAGCGCTGTCCTAGACACTGGGCAAACGAGGCCCTGCGTGTAAGTCCCTAAGCTCAAGAAGGGGTGGGGGCAAAACCGTCAGGCCCGGAAGCTCCTCGTCTCCGCCGGATTCTCCCTCAACCTCGGGGCGTCCCCAGCTCCTCACCGGTCAGTCCCAGGCCCGGACGCCGCCGACCTTCAGGAGCGGCCCCGCCCCTTTTCCCGAGGACACCCAATGAGAGCGAGGGGCCACTTCCGGGGCGGGGCTGCTAACGGAAGGGGCGGGGCATCGCTCCCGAGGCGCGGCCTTGTTCCTCAGGCGGCCGCTGGGGGCGCCAGAGCGGGACCGGAGCGCGCGCCGAGCAGGAGGTGAGCGAGGCCGTCCCGGGCCCCGGCCCTCCCGACGCGCGTCCTGCCCGGGCCTGGCCTGTCCTGGCGTCCGCGGCTGCTCGGAGCTCAAACCCGACCCGCGGATTCGACCCGCCTCGCCCGCCTCGCCCCTCGCCCCTCGCCCGCCTCGCCCCTCGCCCGCCTCGCCCCCCTCGCCCCTCGCCCCTCACCCCTCGCCCGCCTCGCCCCTCACCCCTCGCCCGCCTCGCCCCTCACCCCTCACCCACCTCACCCCTCGCCCCTCACCCCTGGCCCCACCTCACCCTTCACCCCATCTCAACCCTCACTCACCTCCCACTTCACCCCACCTCGCCCCTCACCCGTCAACCCCTCTCCTCACTGCACACCCCATGCCCCACTCTCCTCGCTCCACACCCCTCACCCTACCGCTCTAACCCCACATTTCTCACCTCAGTCCCCCACCCCCTTACATCTGACGTCCATCTCCTCACACCATGCATGCCGGATCCTGAACTACATACCCTGGGCTTTTCATTCCACACAACATGGCCCTCTTTCCCTTCTACCTCCCACACCTGGGACCACAGGAGTCCACACCACCTCACACCCCAAGTTCCCAAACACTCTGGCTTCCTCCCATCTGTACTCAGGACCGGCCCAGACTTCTCATAACCCTAACTCCAAAACTTCCCTCCCCACATCACATGCACATTCCCTTCCTGTGCTGCTCTCACCCCATACAAAGGAGCACATCTCTTCACCAAGCGTCCCTCTTATTCCCTCATATTTCTTATTCTGAAAGGGATCCCAGAGTCTATTAGAAACTCTTTGTACCACGCAAGACACTCAGATCACAAACCAGACTCTTGGCTCTGACTTCCTCAACCACGCCTTTCACACCCAAAGTGATACCCAACCCAGACCCCACACTCCTGCCACCCATCTTAAGCCCTATTCCATTGTGCTTTGGTGCGAGCTGAGGCCTCTTTCTCCACCCAGTGCCAGTTGTCCCAGGCAATCTCATCAGGGAAGAAATTTCATGAATTCTAATCCTGTGGCTTCTTCCTCCACATCAGCTCTCACACCCTCTCCCTGGATCTACTTTTCAGAGCTATCCCTCCTCAGATCCTGTGCCACTCTGGCCACAGCCTCCATCCTTCTAGCAGTCTCATCTTTACTCCCAAATCTATGTGGGGCCACCCCAACACCCCAGTTATACAGGATGCATGTCTTTTCTTTCTTTCTTTCTTTCTTTCTTTTGAGTCAGTTTTGCTCTTGTTGCCCAGGCTGGAGTGCAATGGCACCATCTCAGCTCACCGCAACTCTGCCTCCCAGGTTCAAGCAATTCTCCTGCCTCAGCCCCCAGAGTAGCTGGGATTATAGGCGCATGCCACCACCCCCGGCTAATTTTGTATTTTTAGTAGAGATGGGGTTTCTCCATGTTGGTGAGGCTGGTCTCAAACTTCCGACCTCAGGTGATCTGCCCACACTCAGCCTCCCAGAGTGCTAGAGTTAGAGACGTGAGCCACCGTGCCCAACCAGGATACATGGCTTTTCTGTGTCTCTGCTTAATCCCAACCATCATCTTAACCACTCCTTAAACCACTCTCATACTTGTGCCCTCAGTGTCCTTACCTTGTCCGTCCACTGCATACATGTCTAAGCCCCCAGGCCTTCTACACTCCGTCCTTGTTTCTGTGCCGTCCTAGGGTCCTGAGGACACTAGCTATGTGGCCTTAGCCACATTCCTAAGTGCCCCTAGGGAGGCATACAGCTTCGCTACACCCTTATCATTCTCAAACTAAGAATGTCTGTTGTCACAAGGAGAAACTTTTCATTGCCATTTATGAGGGAGTTAGAGACCATCAGGGCTGAATTCCCCTCTTGCCATCCTACCTTGACCTCTACCTACCTTACTCTATCCCTACCTCCTTAACTTCCCTTACCGTCATAGGTTAAAAACGGCCCTTTACATGTCGGAGACTAGTCCACCATCAGCTACCCTTTCTCCTGATTCTTCTTTTTTTTTTTTAGACAGAGTTTTGCTCTTGTTGCCCAGGCTGAAGTGCAATGGCATGATCTCAGCTCACCACAACCTTTGCCTCCTGGGTTCAAGCGATTCTCCTACCTCAGCCTCCCAAATAGCTAGGATTACAGGCATGTGCCACCACGCCTGGCTAATTTTGTATTTTTTGTAGAGACGAGGTTTCTCCATCTTGGTCAAGCTGGTCTTGAACTCCCAACCTCAGGTGATCCACCTGCTTTGACCTTCCAAAGTGCTGGGATTACAGGTGTAAACCACCTCGCTGAGCCTCTTTTTTTTTTTTTGGACAGCCTCATCCTGTTGTCCAGGCTGGAAAGCAATGGCATGATCTCAGCTCACTGCAACTTCTGCCTCCCAGGTACAAGTGATTCTTTTGCCTCAGCCTCCTGAGTAGCTGGGATTACAGGCGAGCACCACCACATCCAGCGAACTTTTTGTATCTTTAGTAGAGACAGGGTTTCACCATGTTGGTCAGGCTGGTCTCGAACTCTTGACCTCATGAATGCCTGCCTCGGCCTCCCAAGTGCTGGGATTACAGGTGTGAGCCACTGCACCTGGCCTCTTCAGGCTTTTCTATCCAACTAGCTCTTTCCACACAGCCTAGAAACATGAAGAATTCAAAAAACAAAAAACCTTCACTCTATACCACCTTCTAGTTCTCTGGTTTTTTCTACCCTTCCCATCTAAATCTGTACACACTATCCATTTTGTCTAATGATCCATTAATTATTTAATTCATGGAAATCTTTTTACTTTTATGGCCTTCCTGAAACATCTCACCAAGTTGACCAGTGACACCCAAATCAAATATCCTGAATTTACTGAGCCTTTTTTTCTTTTGCAGAGGAGATCTTGCAGATCTTGCTCTGTAGCCGAGACTAGAATGCCGTGGCACAGTTGTCCCACCTCAGCCTCCTGAATAACTAGGGCTGCAGGTGTACACCACCACACCCAACTATTTTTAAATTTTTTTGTATAGACTATTGCCCAGGCTGGTTTCTAATTCCTGGCTTCAAGCATTTTTCCTGCTTTAGCCTCCCAAAGAACTGCGATTACAGGCATGAGCTACCGTGCCTGGCCTGCCATGCCCAAATATTGTAATCTTTGACACTAGCGTAGTATCTCCCAACTTAAAACAAAATACCCTTGTGACTCTACATTGCATTCCAGGTACTGGCATGTTTCTGTGCTTCTCTTTGAAGCAAAACTCACCAGTTTCTACTTCTTCCCTCTCTTTAGAAACATTTAAATCGAGTTCTTGTCCCAGCCACTCCATCAAAACAGCTCTTGTCAAGATTGCCAGTGTGACCTCCGGATTGTCAAATCCGGTGGTCACTTTTATTATTATTATTATTATTATTATTTTTGAGACAGAGTCTTGCTCTGTTGCCCAGGCTGGAGTGCAGTGGTGTGATCTCAGCTCACTGCAGCTTCTGCCTCCTGGGTTTAAGTGATTCTCCTGCCTCAGCCTCCCTAGTAGCTAGAATTACAAGTGTGCACCACCAGGCCCCACTATTTTTTTTTAATTTTTAGTGGAGATGGGGTTTCACCATGTTGGCCAGGCTGGTTTTAAACTCCTCAACTCAAATGATCCACTTACCTCGGCCTCCCAAAGTGCTAGGATTACAAGGCATGCGCCATCATGCCCAGCCCAGTGTCACTTTTTAATCCTAATACTACTTGATAGGCAACATAATTTATTACTTCTTGTTTACTCTCTTCACTTGACTTCCAAAACATCAGTCTCTCCTGGTTCAGCTTGTACCTCACTGGCTGCTGCTTTTTTGTCTCCTTTGCTGGTTCCTCTACATCTTCCCAGACTCTAAATATTGGAGAGCTCAGACCTCTCCTTCATTTACCCTGATTTCCTAGGTGATCTCAACTAGTCCTGTGGCTGTAAATGTTATCTATACTCCAATAACTCCCAAGTAAGTGTACTTAACCAGGCTTTTCACTGCACTCCACATTCATATTTCCATTTGGATGTCAGCAAATACTATCGGCTCTGTTTTCATAAGATATCCAGAATCTGTTCACCTCTCACTACCTCCACTTCTCTTTTTTCTTTTTTTTTTTTTTTTGAGAGGGAGTCTCGCTCTGTTGCCCAGACTGGAGTGCAGTGGCATGACCTCGGCTCACTGCAACCTCTGCCTCCCAGGTTCAAGTGAGTCTCCTGCCTCAGCCTCCTGAGTAGCTGGGGCTACAGGCACATGCCACCATGCCTGGCTAATTTTTGTATTTTTAGTTGAGATGGGATTTCACCATATTGGACAGGCTGGTCTCAAACTCCTGACCTCGTGCTCCCTCTGCTTCAGCCTCCTAAAATTCTGGGATTATAGGCATGAGCTACCAAGCCCAGCCACTACCTCCACTTCTAACACTGATCCAAGCCCCATCATCCCTTACCTGGAGTTTTGCAGCTATCTTCTTTTTTTTTTTTTCTTTTTCTTTTGTACCCAAGCCTCCATTACCTGAAGCAGCAGCTACCTTCTAACTGCTCTCCCTGTTCCACCCTCTCCACCCCTAAGTCTATTCTCAACATAAAAGCCAGAGTGATCCTTTTAGGTCGTTATTCAAATCATGTCACCTTTGTCAACACCTTTTCTATTGTTTCCTCATGTCACTCAGAATAAAAATCAAAAGTCCTGGCCAGGCACGGTGGCTCACACCTGTAATCTCAGCACTTTGGGAGGCCAAGGCAGGTTGATTACCTGAGGTTCAGGAGTTTGAGACCAGCTTGGCCAACATGGCAAAATCCTGTCTCTAATAAAAATACAAAAATTATCCAGGCATGGTGGCAGGTGCCTATAATCCCAGCTACTTGGGAGGCTAAGGCAGGAGAATTGCTTTAACCTGGGAGGCGGAGGTTGCAGTGAGCCAAGATCACACCACTGCACTCCAGCCTGGGTGACAGAGTAAGACTCTGTCTCAAGAAAAAAAAAAAAAGAGTGTGTATTGCAAAGAGAAGGGGCTGAAAAGGACCCTCCCTTGACACATTAGAGCCAGCAAAGGAGAGAGCCAAGAAAGAACAGGGAAGGAAATACCAGAGGTGGACAGAGTTTGAAGAGAACAAGGTTAAAACATCAAGAGGATTTTGAGCAGGAAAAAAATGGCCAAATGTCAGTGCTGCAGAGAAGTGAAATAAAAGAAAGTCCCCTGAGAGTGCCAGTTATGACGTTGGTGAGAGCATTGTCAGTGAGTGGCAGAGACAGATGCCAAATAACAGTGGAGTAAGGAGGATAGGCAAATGTGTGAGGCCTGGCTGGGTAAGGAAGGAGAGGGAATAGCTATAGGAGAGGATCAAGGAAGGTGTTCCAGACATTTCTTCCTCCTGTCACCCTCTATTAGCCCCCTGCCGTGCCACCTGCCTGTACCTCCCCACTCACTCTTAGCAAATTATTCCTACTTACCAAAAAGCAGGATGGGGTCCCTGCATATGGAATGACTCCATGCCCACAAAGGTAGCTCCTTTACAGATCCCAAAAGACCATACACCCTGCCCCTGCACCCTTGTTCTCAGATCTGCCTCTCAGGCCTCCTGGAGGGCCCTTTGCTCCTCCCTCAGAATCTCTACCCTTAACAGGGAGGATGGCAAGAGGGAAAAGATCATAATTTTCTTTTCTTTTCCCTTCTTTTTTTGAAATGGAGCTTCACTCTTATCGCCCAGGCTGGAATGCAATGGCATGATCTCGGCTCACTGCAACGTCCGCCTCCCAGGTTCAAGCAATTCTCCTGCCTCAGCCTCAAGTAGCTGGGATTACAGGCGCCCACCACCATGCCTGGGTAATTTTTATATTTTTAGTAGAGATGGGGTTTCACCATGTTGGCCAGGCTGGTCTCGAACTCTTGACCTCATGAATGCCTGCCTTGGCCTCCCAAGTGCTGGGATTACAGGCGTGAGCCACTGTGCCTGGCCAAGATCACAATTTTCTTTTCAAATTAGAGTGTTATAATAGTCCTTTATTCAACCAACGTTTATTAAACATTTGCTATTTTCCTAGCCCTGAGCTGAGCACTAGGAATAGTTCATTGAAAAGACAGCCTCTGCTCTCCAGGACCTCACGGTCTAGTTGGGGAGGTAGAGAGTCCACAATCATACCAGCTAAGAGGTACCATTATGAGGGAGGCCCAGGAAGTCACAGGAGAACTGAGTGGAGGCCTCTAACTCTGAATTAAAGGCCAGGAAGCTTTTCCCCACATGTACAGTGGGAACAATGCCACAGTATCTGTGGCCCATTCCTCCCTATTTTATGCTTATCTGGCTCATTCCTTCACCTTCATAGGGTTACAAGTTCCCTGACAGCTCTTACAACATTATTAATCTATTTCTCTCCTTTCTTACTCGTGCCTTGTATATAAATAGGTAAGCATCAAATATTAACAGAATGAATTAATGTATATTAATAAAGATTAGGAGAGGATCTGGAGTGATTTAATTACAGTTCAATATTTTAAATAACAATAGATATGATTTATTAAGTGCTCATTATGGTAGATACTGTTCTGAATAGTATGTAATTTATTTCAATTAATCCTCACAAAACTCCGCAAGATATAGGTACCACTAATAATTCTCTTTTAAAAAATACAAAACTTGGCCGGGCACAGTGGCTCACGCCTGTAATCCCAACACTGGGAGGCCGAGGCAGGCAGATCACCTGAGATCAGGAGTTAGAGACCAGCCTAACCAACACAGAGAAATCCCATCTCTACTAAAAATACAAAATTAGCCAAGCATGGGGGTGCATGCCTGTAATTCCAGCTACTTGGGAGGCTGAGGTGGGAGAATCACTTGAACCTGGGAAGCAGAGGTTGCAGTGTGCAGAGATCACGCCATTGCATTTTAGCCTGGGCAATAAGAGCGAAACTGCATCTCAAAAAAAACTTTTAAAAATCACGAAAAATTTGTTGAGAAGACGTATAAGTTGCCAAAGGTAGCACTGCTGATAGGTGGTGGAACCAAGATTTGAACCCAGGCAGTTCTGTTCCAGAAACAGGACAATCTCTATAGGGCACTGCCTCTAATGCCCAGGAGAATTCTTCTGGAAAGTTAAGTTGATAATAATTTTTTTTAATGTGTGAACCATTTCATTTTTTAAAATTAAACTTACCCTCCTCCAGGCTCCCATAGCTTGATATGTGTAATTATTACATTAACTGCTATTTATGTATCTGCTTTTGCATCTGTCACATTCTGGTTTGTCACATGCTATTTGTGACTTACTCCCATATTGCACAAGAAATTCCTTAGGTGCAGGGATTGTATCTTTATAACATCACCGCAATAGCTTGCATCTTAGTGGGTACTAAATACAGTTTTGCCAGAATAAATTCCACTATTATGTTAACATTATGGCAGACTTTTTCCCTTACGATGATGAAGATGTTTTCTGTGTTAATCACTGCAGCCTTCAGCTATATTTGTATGGCAAGGATGGCAGAAAGGGGAAAGACAGCTTCTATGTGCCAAAAGCTATGCTGGGCTCTCTAGGCATGTTCCCATTTAACCTTTACAACAGCCCTGTGGAGTAAGTGGTATTGTCTGAATCTGAGAGAATTCCTTGGAGAAATCACTGAGTTATAACGAATGGAGCTGGAATTGAAATGTGGGTCTGTCTCACTGCAGCTTCTGTGCATTCCCTAAATGGCTGATGCTGACCCTGAGGAAAAAACCTACAACAACATGCTGAAAATGCTCTCAGATCTGAATAAGGACTTGGAAAAACTATTGGAAGAGATGGAGAAAATCTCAGGTAGGACGTGTGAACCCCTACCTGAGTATCTGAGTTTCTGAGATAGATCTCAATCAATTTAGAAAGTTTATTTTGCCAAGTTTAAGGATGCGCCTGTGACACAGTCTCAGGAGGTCCTGAGGACATATGCCCAAAGTTGGCAGGCACAGCTCACTTTTATACTTTCTAGGGAGAGAGAATACATCAGTCAGTACCTGTCAGATGTAATAAATATTAGTGATAATGGATCATAGAAGTAGAATATGGTATTGTTACAGGAAAAGGGTCCCGATCTAGACCCCAAGAGAGGGTTCTTGGATATCGCACAAGAAACAATTTAGGGTGAGCCTATAACGTAAAGTGAAAGCAAATTTATTAGGAAACTAAAGAAATAAAAGAATGGCTACTCCATAGACAGAGCAGCCCTGAGGGCGGCTGGTTGCCCACTTTTATGGTTATTTCTTGATGATATGCTAAACAAGGGGTGGATTATTCATGCCTCCCCTTTTAAGACCATATAGGGTAACTTCCTGATATTGCCATGGCATTTGTAAACTGTCATGATGCTGATGGGAGTGTAGCAGTGAGGATGACCAGAGGTCACCTCTGGTCACCATCTTGGTTTTGGTGGGTTTTAGCCAGCTTCTTTACTGCAAACTGTTTCATCAGCAAGGTCTTTATGATCTATATGTTGTGCTGATCTCCGGTCTTATTCTGTGGCTTAGAATGCCTTAACCGTCTGGGAATGTAGCCCAGTATGTCTCAGCCTTATTTTACCCAACTCCTATTCAAGATGGAGTTGCTCTGGTTCACACATCTCTGACAGTCTGACCTGATATAATAGTCAGTTGTTTAAGGGATGAGATGGAGTCAGGCCTACGGTTTAATCTAAAACAAAACATCCCTGATCAGATCTATTTTGTGAGCGATCACAATCCGGATCTTTAATTGTGCCTTTTCCTTTTGCTGTATCTGGCATAACATTTACAAGAGATATATAATGCTAATACAGTGACAGATGTCATAAAGATAGTGAAGATTAGGCATCCAAGAAGGTTATAGACATAATCAGAGGGCAGTAAACAACAAGCCAAAAAAAAAAAAAAAAAAGCCTTGCATACATCATCATATTCTTTGATCAGACTCACAATGTGTTTACCCTCCTTATCAAGGATTATCTGAACCTTATGATAAATCTTATTTAAGGATTGTAGGACTGACATTAAATCAGAATCCACGCTGAGGCAGGAGAGTCTCTTGAATCTGGGAGGTGGAGGTTGCAGTTAGCTGAGGTCATGCCACTGCACTCCAGCCTGGGCAACAGAGCGAGACTCTGTCTCAACAACAACAACAACAAAAAAAAATCAGAATCCAATAAATTAAATCTCTCTTTTGGCCAATTTGTCTCCATAAGTATAACATGCTGAGGAGGGTACAAATCAAATGCAGGGAACGTCTGGTCCTCGGTATCTAAATTGTCATAGGACTTGTTAACAGTAGACAAATCTATTTTTCCCACCACTTTTATATGCACCATATACTGATATTTGGGAGAGAAAAGGATGTTTTGTCACAGGAGAAGTCGTATAATTCTATAGTATCATTTTTTTTGTCCCTCAGCAGGACTCCCTATGGCCAAGGGCCTTAAGAATCAAAAGACTTATAGCCAATTAATTGTTCTAGGCCAGATAGGAATGGAGGTGAACAGGCATTCATTACCTCTTAAAATTATTATTTTAAATAAAAAGCCAACAAACAAAACCAAATGCAAAGTTACAAGACTGACTTATTTAGAATTTCTATGTATTGAGCTACTGTAAGCTTGTTTTTTATTATAGACTTACAGCAATTAGCTATAAAAATATGAGCATTGGCCGGGTGTGGTGGCTCACACCTGTAATCCAAGCACTCTGGAGGCCAAGGTGGGTGGATCACCCGAGGTCGGGAGTTCAAGACCAGCCTGACCAACATGGTGAAACCTCATCTTTAAAAAAAAATAATAATAAAATAAAATAAAATAAAAAATAAAAAATATGAGCATTGTTCTGGGCTGGGTGCAGTGGCTCACCCCTGTAATCCCAGCACTTTGGGAGGCTGAGTCGGGTGGATCACCTGAGGTCAGGAGTTTGAGACCAGCCTGGCCAACATAGTGAAACCCCATCTCTACTAAAAATACAAAAATTAGCCAGGCGTGGTGGTGTGCCTGTAGTCCCAGCTACTTGGGAGGTTCAGGAGGCTGAAGCAGGAGAATCACTTGAACTTGGGAGGCAGAGGTTGCAGTGAGCTGAGATCATGCCACTGCTCTCTAGCCTGGGCAACAGAGCAACACTCAGTCTCTAAATAAATAAATAAGCATTGTTCTGAAAACTAATTAAAAATATGTAAGGCCGGGCGCGGTGGCTCAAGCCTGTAATCCCAGCACTTTGGGAGGCCGAGGCGGGTGGATCACAAGGTCAAGAGATCAAGACCATCCTGGTCAACATGGTGAAACCCCGTCTCTACTAAAGCTACAAAAAAAAATTAGCTGGGCATGGTGGTGCGTGCCTGTAATCCCAGCTACTCAGGAGGCTGAGGCAGGAGAATTGCCTGAACCCAGGAGGCGGAGGTTGCGGTGAGCCAAGATCGCGCCATTGCACTCCAGCCTGGGTAACAAGAGCGAAACCCCTTCCCAAAAAAAAAAAAAAAAAAAAAAAATATGTAGATAGATAGACAGATAATAATTTATCTTCACAACTCATATTTGGGAGTATTATACCCAGGAGGCTTTGTTATAAGGTATTTTTATCCTGTTAGTAAATATGTTCCTTTAAATCTATATTAAGCAGAAAATTATTTACAGTTGAGGTGAATGCAAAGGTGACACATAATAGTTTAGAAGGCAACTAAACTTGTTTTACCAGCTCTTTAGGCATCTTTGTACCCCTTCTTTATTTGAAGGGTTTGACCTTGACCTAATTTTATCCCTCAAAGCAGGCCCTTACACTCTCATACTCTTGACTCTTCTGTGATAGTCCCTGGGCATAGAGGGAGGGTGATTGTATAGTTTTAGCACCAGAGCATTTGCAGTGAAACAGATCCAGGTCCAGTGGGATGCTAAATGAGGGAAATTCATATCTCTGATCTTCAGAATACCATGATTTTGGTTTCCTTCGAAGTAAAATGAGGAGAGATAAGTTTGACAATTATAAGAGTAATTTGTGTGTCAGAACATAAAAAGGAATGTAGGGTCCAGCCCTACAGGGTTCTGTGAGCCCCTCCCTGCTGGCACAAGAGACAAGAAATTGTAGAAGTAAAAGACACAAGACACAGAGATAGAGAAAAGAGAGTCTGGGCTCGGAGGTCCACTGCAAACCAAATCGCAGAGTCCTGCAGTGGCCCCAAGCGTCCACACCCTCTGACTTTTATTGAGTATAAAAGCTGGGGTCAGGGAAAATAGGGCGTAGGTAGGGAGTGGCCTTGGTGGTCAGCGACTGGGGGCAGGGTCAAGTACATCATGTGTCATACAGGTAGGGGCTCAGGAATTTTCAGCAGCCGAGATGAGGTAAGGGGCATAATGCGTCAGCACTTTTTCCATACTTGTCACAAAGACATTAGGATTTACATTACTTTTACTGATTAATTCTTATAAGAAAAAAGGAACCTGATGCAGAAGCAGATCTTGAGGTTGACATGGAACGTGACCACTGAAGCACAGCATCACATAGAGACATTTAAGCCCCCAAATGTCTGCAGGCCTGACAACTTCAGGCCTACCAAAAGAGCTTGGAGAAGCGGAGTTTTCTCCTAACTCCTCTGAGGAAGGAGACATCTCAGCTATTTTGGACGTCTCCTTCCCTAGCTGGCTAAACAGCGGGCACTTTCCCAGCGCTGGCACTGCCATTCAGCCAAGGCGCCCTCCAGCAGCCCTTATGAGGGCATGACAGAGGGCTTAAAGCATCTTGCCTTGGAGTCATTCATTTTATAATGTCACCCCAGGTTCACACTTCCAACTTGAGAGGCATTAGTAAAAGAATTAAGATCACTTATGAATAACTAATAATGACTACAGTTAGATTTCTTGTTACTTTCTTCTTCATTATTTATATGGAAATAGGCTGAGTATTTTGGCTCCTGTCTCAGCACTTACGGAGTCTTCTCCCTACAAAGGAACCTATTCCATTAGGGCACCAACTAAAAATATGAGGAAAAATTATAATCTGGTACTCTCTAGAGGATTACTGTAGTCAAGAAACAATAATTTAATTTACACTCAAAAAGCAAGTTACAGCTGAAATCTACTGTTAAATGTTATGACTTTCCTTTGAAACAATTTCTCTAGCCTCTTTTTTTTCTATTAAAGATAAATTATAGCAAGACCAATTGTGTGCAAGGTACGTTTTAGGCTTTATTATGCTTGCCTGATTATTTGCATAAAATGCAGCAATAATTAGTTGGCTATATAGACTGCCTTTAAGTTGTCTTTGCTTAACTTTACTAAAAATAGTCTATTTTAGTTTAAATCTTGGTAAAATAACCAGTGTCTCCAATTGTTTTGTTTTAAAACTCTTATTAAACTTATGCAAACAACTATATTGTCATAAAATTACTATTTTAATTTTGGAGAACTCAGAAAGGTGACTTGGAAATACCATTTTAAAACCAACAGCTCCTGACAGCTGTCTACCGGGCACTGTAGAATTTAGCAGCTCCTCATAATTAGTCCTAGAAAGAGGCTCTCTGCTTATCAGGTAGCAAGATTTTATGTAAACCATTTTTATTTTATTATGGAACTTTTCTGGAAAACATTATTTCCATTAGCATTGGGGTAGCTTCAGTTAACATTCCATTGCAAGGCAGTAAATGCCCCATCAAGTGGAAATTCTCTAGTTCAGTTGTTATCATTGAAAAGTAGAGTTTTGGCCAGCCACACTGGCACACACCTGTATTCTCAGCACTTTGGGAGGCAAAGGCGAGCAGATCACCTGAGGTCGGGAGTTCAAGACCAGCCCAGTTGACATGGAGAAACCGTGTCTCTACTAAAA